GGAGTCGGGATCAGAAGCGTAGATCTTATGATCTAGTGAAAACAGTGTTCCGATTCCGCTTATGACTCCGTCGCTTACGTAACGTTCATGGTCTAGTGAAAACCAGATGGTAGGAGTCGAAAGCAGAAGCAGAAAAACCAGAAACCGATCACAGAGCGTGGGAACGTGCATTGTGATTGGTTTATCTTTCCGCTTCTGCTTCCGACTCCGACAATCTGGTTTTCACTAGATCATAAGTGTAATGTAAAGATGAGGTCGGAAGAAACGTTGTTATTCTTCTGACTCCGATTCCGTCGCGCTCATAACTCCGCTAACGACTCCCATTTTTGATTTTCACTGGGTCATAATCCCTCTTTCGACTCCGCTTAAGAATTCGACTTCAACTCCCTCGCCAGTGGAAACCAGCCTTCAGCGGGCGTTTTATCTGTCCCCATCTTTGTCGAATGTATTCTTATGAAGTGTTTACCGTCACATGGGCACGCTAGCGCATTTTAGACATTTCTATTAAAAGTTACTTGTGTAGAAAATTATGCCAACATCGTTGTACCGTGAATTTTTTATTCGAAAAGCAGAGCTTGCTGCAGACACGCAACACATATTTCATTCTTTCTTGAATTTAGTTGGACGCGCAAAAAAGTATTTTTCCCATCTTTAAAGAAGTTTATTTCCTTCATATGCTTTATAATCTGATTAATGACTTTGATCATTTTCGTGTAATATTGAATACACTTAACCTGAAGAACTTGATCTTGCGGTTGTGGAGGTTCCTGTTGAGACAAAATTAGCAGAATCATTTCTTTTCTTTTCAGCTTTTTAAATATGTTTTGAGCGTTTTTAATAATTTTGTTGCAATGTTGCATTAAGCTCTAAAAATACTTATAATGAATCACCTGAAGAAGTAGCGGTTGGGAAAATTCCACTTGAGGAACCTTTGTCAAACATAAAACTATATATTTTCACAATAGAGAACTATTCTCTCTTTAAATTGTTTTATCTACAAAATATATACTTTTTGATGCAGTTTTTAAAACGATGAATAAAAGTTTTTTGTCATTCGGTTTCAATGTTAAAAAGCGTGGACAATCTTACACCTCACCTGAGGAACTTGCCGGGGCGGCTGTGGAAGTTTCTGTTGAGAAACCGATGAACGTTAGTATATTCACTTCTTTCTAACTTAAGAGGTACTCTAAGTTTGACATTTTTTTCTAATTTTTGAAAAGGTTCCATTTGCCCTTTTTATTCAGATCAATGTTCAAAAACTTAAATGTTAATCTAAAATCCCAGAAACTCACTTGAAGAACTTCCTGGGGAGCTTGTGGAAGAGCCTGTTGAGGAACCTGTGAAAGATAAGTATATTTACTTCTATCTGCCTTTAAGGATGTACTTGTGATATAGTTGATAATCAAGTAAAGGTTTTGTTCGTTATGCTGCAATAATTTTTGATAACTGACATGGCTAGAGCCAGAGACAACAAGTAAAAATATCCCACGATGATACAAATTAAACCGTTCAATAAGAGATTAACCGTTATAATTCCACTCGAGGGGTATAAAATAAACCTTACTATTATTCAATTCTCCGTTGCTGATTGGCTAAATTCTCACGGATAATTCATCATAACCAGCCACTGTTGACCAAATTTGGAAGAAGTTTACGAGATGCAAAAAATGACGTCAATTCCACACCATAATTGCCAGAAAACTGGAAGAAAGGGTTCTATTTTTTCTTTTTATCATTCGGATCCATTGTTAAAAAGCGTGGACAATCTTAAAGCTTCACCTGAGTATATTGCTGGGGCGCCTGTGGAAGTTTCTGTTGAGAAACCGATGAACGTTAGTGTATTTACTTCTTTCTATCTAAGAGAATTACCCTAAGTTTTAAATTTTTTTAATATTTGAAAAGGTTAATTCCTTTCGTCCTTTTTATTCAATGTTTAAAATCTTAAATCTTAATCTGAAATCTCAGAAACTCACCTGAAGAACTTCCTGGGGAGCTTGTGGAAGACCCTGTTGAGGAATCTGTGAAAGATAGTATAGTTACTCATATCTGCCTTTAAGGATGTACTTGTCATATACCGTCACATTCCGAAAATAAGCCCCGGGGCTTATATTTTTCAAAGGCCCTTTTTGAGGGGCTTATCTATGGAGGGAAATTTGCGTTTCAAAATCGATTAAGCTAGCCTTATAGTTGGAAGGAAATTGACCGTTTTTGCTTTATTTTGTAATTAGTTTGTATTTGAGGGCAATTTCCAAGTGCAAGCCCCCGGGGGGCTTATATTCAGGGAAGCGATTAAACGGAGGGTGCTTAGGGGGCTTATATTTGGAGGGGCTTATACATGAAGGGGCTTATTTTCGGAATTTTACGGTAGTTGATAACCAAGTAAAGGTTCCGTTCTTTATGCTGCAATAATTTTTAATAACTTGCTAGAGACGAGGAGTTAAAATATCCCACGATAATACAAACTAAACCAAACTCCAGGGGACTAACATAAACCTTACTTAATTATTCATTTCTCCGTTTCTGTTCATTTTCTTTTTTTATTCAGTGATAAGAATCTCAAATCTAAATCTAAAATCTCGGAAACTCACCTGAAGAATTTGCTGGGGCCCCTGTTGAAGAACCTGCTAAAAAATCTGTGAAAAATATGTATATTTACTTAATATTTGTAAGTTAAAGGACGACTGTATAACTTGCATTTGTTGATGATCAGTTAAAGGCTTGGTTTTCTACTGCATTGTCTTATACGTCTGTCTTATACTTACTTCACTTGATCTTAAAGGGGTATTTTTGATACAGTTTGTTATTCGTTAAAACTAGTCAATGTATGCGATTACAAATGCCGATACTCTATGGAAAGGTTTTATACATCGGAGTCAGTGCTTACTAAAGCCAGGACTCAGGTAAATAAGCGAAAGTTCACTGAATTAATTTCAATTTGCATTATTGATATGCATTTGATGATAGGCCGACTTGCAAGATAGAAATGCTAAAAGGTTTAATCTCTTATAATAAGTTTCTTAAGCCTTAATGACATCACTGCTGTTGTTAAAGGTTATTTATATGCTAGCCAACTTGTTGATTTTATCAAACACCTTACTTTTTGAGTATTTTCGGCCTAATATATCTAGCCGGATTATTGATAACGTTACCGCCAAATGGACCTTTTGCGTCTAACTATTTTTTTTTTTTCGGCCAAAGTAGCCATTAGTGCAACTACTGTTTTTTTTGTTTCTTTCTTTTTTTTTCTCTTCTCCTCCTTTCCTACTCCTCGCTCTTTCTTTTTCTCCTTTCTTTTTCCTTTGTTACCGTGATTTTGGAGCTTCTTAGAGTTAACAAACATTCCTTTTTGACGCCTTTTCACTCAAATAACTGCAAATTTCGTTAGGTTGGTTTTCAAAAAATCAGTTACATGTACTTTGAAGGAAATTTGGATTCTGCCAATAAATTTAAAAAATATATGACGTTATAATGACGCCAGATGACGTCATTGTGTCAATCACGTTATACACAGAAATTTCTGAAGGCTGCATTTTTTCGATCATGAGCCCCAAATTCGGTGTCAAGCGCAACACCCAAGTGAAAATTACAGCCAAATACGCAAAATACAATTGACGGGAAAGATCATATTTCATAGGGGATATCATCTCACCTAGTGGTGTGAATAAGATAAGGCTAATAAAACCCAAGCAAGCCTTAAATATGTCCATGCATCACCCTTTTTTATCAATGCTGTTGTTGTTGTTGTTGTTTTTTTTAACATTTCGTTGCCGTGGGGGATCGCTTCACGGCTTCAACCTCAGAAGAGTTCGCCAACATTTCACAAAGCAAGCGAGTTGGAAAAATTGCGATAAAGAATAAAACAACGCGAATACACTTTTAAGCGACGATTTCACCGCTGTAGCCGTCGTGGTATCTTAAACTCTCTGACTTGAAGCATTAACGGGTGGTGAAAAAAAGTTAGTTCCGATCACAGTACTAGAACCTTCCGTAGTTTTTGCTGTAGTCCCTATTATCATTATCATTTTTATTATCATTATCATTTTCATGATCGCTATTACCATCGCCATCAATATCACTGTCATTGTCACTGTCACTATCATTATCGTTATCATTATCATTATCATTATCGTTATCATCATAAATACCGTAAAATTCTGAAAATAAGCCCCTAGGCTTATATTTTTCAAAGGCCCTTTTTGAGGGGCTTATTTTTGGAGAGGCTTATATTTGGAGGGGCTTATCTACGGAGGGAAATTTGCGTTTACAAATCGATTGGGCTAGCCTTATAGTTGGAAGTAAATTTACCGTTTTTCTGTTGTTTTACTTTGTATTTGAGGGCAATGTTCCAAGTACAAGCCCCCGGGGGGCTTATATTTGGAGGGGCGATTTAACGGAGGCTTTTTTACGTCACCGGTTTGGGGGGCTTATATTTGGAGGGGCTTATACATGGAAGGGCTTATTTTCGGAATTTTACGGTATATACTCACCACTGACACACGTTTTTTGATAACCATTATCTGTTAACACACAGCTCTGCCCATTAGGACAGTTTCCGTCCATACATGGGCTCGGTTCTGCAACATTGAAAATTAAAAACTACAGTTAAACAGGCTTATTTTGGCCATACCTCTGACAACTATATTAACTTGAGCGCCCGTTTGAATTGGAATAAGGTGCATGACAATCTCTGGAATTCATCTGATGCGAAGACACTTTAACCCATTGACGCCCGAGACTTTTTACGGTTTCGAGTGATTTTTTTTTTGTCTATAGAAACAATCTATAGGATTTAGTGACTCCTTATTTGGGGTTACCATGGAAAGTGGTACACAGCCATTTTTCACTTTTAATAGCTCCCTGCCTGATGAGCATCATTAAGCGTGACGGTAGCTAAGAGTCGTTTGCTCGTGGAAAAACGGCCGCTCCGAAACGAAGTAGCTTTAGGACTCGACTACTGATGACTCTCGCATATTTTGGAACTTGCGACCATTGAAGATCACAATAAGCGCGAAATTTCCGTGAGCTGTGGACTTGTTGACAGAAGTGGGGGTGCGAACGCTAACAACAATTCTGGTCATTTTCCAGGATGCAATGCAGTCTAGCCTCCCACGCAGAAATTCTAAGGGCTTTGTCACGTGCTCCTTGCCCACGAAAGTCTGCTGAAACGAGCAGTCAGTTTCCTTCGTTGGCATTGACTGATTATGACGCGAAAGCAAATCATTTACTGTAAGGGAAATCGACACTCGTAGGTCATCCGTGTAACATTTTTCGCGATAAGCCTCTCCCCAAAATATTCATCAGTATTAATTTGACTTTGTAGCCAGACCTAGTCGGGTGAGAAAACGCCGCTCGCATATGCTTACAATTTCAAATCAGCTGACTTTGAGAGCCTCAAGCTGCACATTATACAGAGCTCAGCTATTGCGAATAGCGTTTCTTGTAACTAGGGTGTTGATGCTTGCTCGTCTAGCTGAAATCCGCCCTTTTGGATATTATTTAAGCTGAGAGTCAGGGACTCAAATACCCTACCTTGACAAGGAGATTCAACATCATCTGAAAAGGAAAGAATCCGCTAGATGTGCCGCCAAGAGGCACAACAGCGCTTTTTACCTTACTGATAAAAATAGGACCATGGTTTCTGTTTGATCCGTCCGTATCTACGAACGGAAGTGGTTGCTTGTTTCAGCAGACGTTCGAGGCGAAGGAAAGCGTGACGAAGCCCTAAGAACGTTTGCCAAGAGCAGGGTGTCCAGCGACATGGTTGTTCAAAAAAATAGGAAAATAGGAAACTCAGGATTGAGAAAATGGGAGAAAAATAGGGAAATCAATGGTACTTTCGTCGACAAAGATAGCCTCCCTGTACCTCGCCAGGGTTATAATAAAGGCTACGAGTCCTCAGCTTCTACGTTCACAAACTTTAGATCAACTTTCAAGGCTTAGAAGGAGTGAAAATGATCAGTAACGTTTAGTTTATTGGCCCAGTTACACTGTAATGAGAATGATATGCTTGCATTGACTATAGGTCAAGCGTGGTTCTATAACCAAAGGTGATCTTATGCAAACTAGTTCCCTTCAAGTGGGTAGCCAATCATTGAAAAGCTTCGAAGAGTGAAATTTCTTACGATTGCGTTGTCGTTGACGGATCATATCCAACAAGGACAAAAAAGTCCTATATGGAAATCTTTCCTTCCATTAATCTGCAATGAGTAGCTGGTTGAGAACATGCTCGTTTAAGTCAAAAGACCACATAGTTTTAAGCCTTGGTCACGTGACCTCCATTTTTCTTTAAGTAAAAGCAAATGGCGTGTTATAGCCCCTATTCATACTTGTTGAAAACTGGGATCAATTTAGGTTTCTAGGAAACTGCCCACCTACCCCTCCCGTAAGCCATTATTTTGCCCTAGGTGAGAAGTAAGTGTTTATGTCAGCTTAGGGGAGGGGTAGGTGGGCAGTTTCCCAGAAACCTAAATTGATTCAAAAACTGTTATCCCGCCTTTTACGTTGAGATAAGCAGTACTTCTAGGTGACCTAGGCTAAGAAACAGATGCGCCTTTGCTATTCTATCCCCCACTCCACCCCTGCGTTACCCTGCGAGCAGAGGCTACATTTTCGCTTTGTGAGCTGGCGTACGAAAAGTAGCCTCTGCCGACAACCGTTCAAATCCGCCCTGAAATCTGGACGAATAAATGAAAAAAACGGGCTTTTTCCTGTTCTTTACTGGTTTAGCGCATTGCGTGAGTCTTGCGTAGCAGATCAGGGTTGTCGTTACTTTTTTTTATTCCCGCAAAACTCGCGCCATTTGACGACGGACCTGACGATTAATTTTGCTTGGGAATTGCGTGACGAATTTCGCGCATGCACGATAGAAAATTGAACGGTTGTAGGCAGAGGCTACTTTTCGCACGCCAGCTCACACAGCGAAAATGTAGCCTCTGCTGGGGGGGTACCCTCGCGTTATCTCCCAGGGAGCTGGTCTCTGCATTTATAGGGTATGTCAGTAATTCTCAATAGAGAGACAACGTCATGATTATGATCAAGATCATCATTATGATTATGATTACACTTAATTGGTAAATGCTTACCTCTACCGTTCGTACAGTAACGCCAAGTAAGGTCACAGTTATTTCTTACTTTTTGAAGTTGATACAGGTAAAATGAACCACAGTTTACGACACTTATCTCTTTTCGGCGGTAACATAGTTCTGATGGATTTTGAATACACAGTTGTAAGTTAACCACACCATCACTAGGTACGGGATGGTTTTCTATAAGGTAACCTTGGACTTTTCCACCGCATCTATATCTAGGTGGAGCATTCACTCGGAGGGCGTTCCCCGCGTTGCCAGTTATTTTGTACCATTTTGACCAATCATTACCAATCTCAGAGTCTCTTGAGTCGCACTTATCCGTGGAAGAATTGTAATTGATTGTGCGATCCCCAGAGCTCAACTCTTTGATCTCGATGCTATCCTGGCAAGGATTGTTTCCTAAAAGTAACATAAAGACAAAAGTTAGTGTATTGAGCGCTAGCCATGCAGTGGATCTTTACGGAATATGCAATTCAGGATGTCACGCAAGGTGACTCCACGAGACCTATCGAGCGCGAGCAAAAACACCTAGAGATCAGTACTGGACACCGATGCGGCCAATTTAATGAAAAATTACTGGTGGCCTTTAGGTTTTCTCCATTGTGAATTCTTGGTAAATATCCTTTTTATAGATTTCAAATGATTAAGTAATAGCTTCTCTCTTTTTTAATTTCTTAGTATTTTCTTTTTATGCCGAGATTTGTACATCTTTTAGCCTAGGTCCTCTTTAATAAAATATATTAGCTAAATAAAGAGGTCTTCCCCTTTACGAAAACACAAATCAATCAGTTATCAATCAAAAAAGAAGAAATTGCAAATTTATAAAAGATTAGGAAACTACTTTAACATCTCACGTTTGTGTTATCGAGTTTGCTGCAAATGCGCAGTGTTATCGAGTTTGTTACGAATGCGCAGGCAATTAAATCAAAACTAGGGATAAAATTGTGGCAAATCGTATTTCAGAATTTCTTATATACAATACGAGTCTTTGTCATCATCGACAACGACGGACGAACAACGACGAGTCGTTATCGCAAACTGGGTAGGCAGATCTGTCATTTCGGTCTGTGAAAAGAGTTGCCAAAATGGCTGACAGAGGCATTTTATGGTTGTGAAAAAATTTGAAAAAAGGTTCTGGTTTTTTTAATTACTATTATTATTTATTTATTATTTCCTTTTAAAGACATTGCATTTAAGCAGTAAAAAAGTAAAAAGGATGCAAAGCCCTGAGCCAATATGTCAAAGGAGTACAATTTGTTCATAGAAGGTATTCGACATTAGGGGGAACCTTTTCAGTCAAAGATGATCTCTCTTCGCATAAAACTTTGCTGCCCAGCCCCCTCCTCCTCACTGGTGGGGCGGGGGGGACGAATAGTTGCCTACTGAAACAAAGGCAGTGCAACAACGTTTAAACGGGTTTTGCGAACACGGCCGGATCTTAGTTATCCTACTGACCGTGAATAGACATGCGACGATACCTAGTGTTGTTTATCACGCTCCATTTAAGTTTGCAGAGATTCTGATTTTGAAACGACTGAAGCTGTTAATATGACAGTTTTGGACAGAATATGCTGCCAATTGCCTTTCTTCAGTTCTTGCTTAGCGTCCTCCATTATTCATGGATTTTTGACGAAAATTATAAAAATCCGAATCATAATGTTCGCTTTCGCTCCTGATGCTAAGCTGCGATTAAGGCCAGTCCGGGCCATAAGCATTTTTGGATACTCGATGACGTCATCAATAACGGCTTCTGGTGCAAGCTTTACTACTCTTATTTAAGCCTTAGCGGATTTAGTCCCCAGTTATATTCCTTGGAACCTTGCAAAAATAAAAGCAAAGAGTGACTAAATACAACAAGCGAATAGGTGATAGCTTCGTTTGTGACAAAACATGCCAGTCCAAACATGCCAGATGAACTATCATCTATTGACACTCTATTGTAAACATCTTTCATTGAAACGGATCGTCCATCCGAACATTAATCGGCGTCCATCAACTTCAGAAAAAGAGAGCTTTAGAAGCTAACTGCTGTTCATCGTAGCTACGGAACCTTGCCTTAAACTCGACACCATCATTCTTGTGACTGTCATCTGAGTGAAATTGAATATCGTCATCTTCATTTTCACTTCCATCATCGCCTTAAGGGGGTGGGGGGGAGGGAGTCTGCAAGAGGATTTGGACTGAATCACGAGGCCATGCTTTCCAGAGACGCTAGTTTCATAAAAAAGGTAATAAAGCGTAACGTCCTACGCACCGTACGACACCTGATACACTAGCTCTAATAAGAGAAAAACACTGTATTGAGTAGCTATCGTCTTCTCGCGCTGGTCAGCCCCTCCTTCTTTTCCTCCACTCGCGTCTTTGTGGTTTTGTGTTTTTGAATTATATTCATTTTGCCTTCTTTCGTTTCCCCCTCCGCGGGGGGGGGGGGGGGGGGGGGGGGGGGGGGTTGGCGTCCGGTTCGTCATTGATACCATAGCCCCTGTTGAACTGGCAAGCTGGTTTCATAACAAGTGGATGGTAAAGTTTCTGCCTTCGCCATAGCTGTTACCTGGCTCACGGGCCTCCGCTTGACTGCTCTCCCGTAAACTCTTGCGAATTACGTCAGCTTCTGGCAGTCGCCTAAGCTCAGCTCGCGAACGGTAAGGATTCCATTAAAGGCATTTCTTGAACTGGATGATGTAGCGGATACCAACTCCGAGGATGTGAATTAAACGAATAAAGCACTCCAAACAAACCGCCACCAAACACGCAAAATCCGAAAACCGCGTGATAAAGTTGTAATATTGGGCAACAGCGCGATGGTTTCTTAACCGTAAACCGCCACACAAATTCCACTGTCACCGCTAACCGACACTCAGAATTGGCTAAAACCGCCAAACCGCCAGAGTATAATAGACCCTCACTTAAAGGCCCTTTCCTGTGCTTTTTGTTTCGGACAGGAATTGACCTCTGAAGATTTCAATAAGTACCCTATGTACACAATCTTGGTGCGACTCACGTAAGGTTGCGGCAACGTTTTGACTTTACGTTTTGCTGGCATTCAAAACAAGCCTTGGTCCTCTGATATACTTCATTTACTGATCAGAGAACATCGCGCTCAGCAATGTGGTCAGGGTAAAATTGGTGGCATTTACTCGATATATGTGGGTTCATTTGTTTTTTACTTCTGCTTCGAGAGGTTTTAGAGAGGTTTTATAGTCAGGTCTTCCTCCCTCCTGAAAAACTGTACAAAATTCCAATACCAAATTCCTAATGGATCGATGTCGAAAATGTTTCTAATTAGTAGCAACGGCCGTGTCAGTTTTGTCAGTTCCGAGTGAAACTCTCAAGTGTCATTCTCTCCTGAGATAAAGTTATTTTGATTTCTTTGTTTTTAATTGAACACACATCTATATCAATATCTTAATCCCTTGTTAGGGCCCTAAATTTTTAGTCTAAGGTAAATTTCACCGATCAAGGTTTCGGAAGAAGGAGAATTCAGTTTCGAAGGCGTAGCCTTGCAAAGGCTAGTTTTACTCAGTTCTCGGTCTGAAGAAAGAAGCTTTTGTACTCAGTGTTCTGCGAAATGCTGCACAAATAATCACTAAAAACTGGTAGTGAAACTGTGTTTTCTTAATTAGAAACTCGGGCAAATTATGCATATTGGCACTAGAAATAGAGCCATTTTTTTTCTACTATCATGCTTTTTTATGGTCGTGTCAACTTTTATGTAGTATGTAGCCTGCGAGCAAGCTCTCCTTTTTGGGCAAGCGAAGTGAGCCTCGCGAGAACGCGCGAGCAGGGGCCGAGGAAAGGAGAGCTTGCAACGATCTCTCATAAATTTTCATTTCCACCCCAGAAACCCCGGGACTCCACAAAGCGTGAAAACTGTCACCGCAGACGTGCCGCAGATTAGAAAAGTGACAACGGCCTGTAGAGTAAGTTTAGACAGTCGAGGGCGTCTAGAATTATTTATTTATAAATCGCTTTCACAACAGCATCAAAGCAATGTTTTAATCACTGATATGTTTTTTTTTCACGGGGACATCGAACTTCAACGTGTACACTCGAATAAGAACTCACTACTTTGATTCTTGTTTCGTTTACATTTGAAAAGTCGTCCATACTGCATTGTAGAAGACTACTCCCCATCGCAATCACCAACAAAAACATCAGATATTTGTTCGTCTGGAACTGGAGAATAGCGTTTTTCTGCACTGGTTCTCTTAAGTTTTACTCCAGTTGCTTCCAACTCTTTCTCTTTTCCTTCTTTACGGTCAAGTACATGTTTCTGAATTTTTCTACCCAGTAGAATTCAATGGAGCGAAGAAACCGACGGTGGAAGACAGCGCTTGACTCACTCTTCACTTTCACGCTCCCGGTTTTCAGTACCAAACAAGGCGCTTGACACAAACGAATACAACTGATGAAGGGTTTTCATTTTCCTTCCACAAGAACTACAAACTCGGTCCGACTTATCCTCGGCTCGTAATATTCTCTTTGCGAGAATTACATCAAACGAGCCCGTCTACTTTGAGGGCTGAAACAAGTTCTCGGTACCAATCTGATCCCCCTGAGAACCAAATTTGACACACAGACGAAGCGGGTGCCCGCTTGGCCTGTTATCAATCAACTTTGATTTCGGGAACGTCATTTTTCAGCCAATGGTATTTCCCTTCGTCTGGGCGAAGTACAAATGAAATTTTATGAGAGATCGTTGTAAGCTCTCCTTTCCTTTGCCCCCTCGCGGCTTCGCCGCTCGCTCGCGCGTTCTCGCGAGACTCGCTTCACTCGCCGAAATAGGAGAGCTTGCTGGCAGGCTATGTAGCATGAATATCAACATTTGAATATTTCCACATGAAAAGGAAAAATAAAACAAACAAAAGGGATAAAGTCTCTTGTTTACTGAATCATCCTTATGCGACCATAGAAAGGTGATCCCGTTGAAATAAATAGCGTCGTAAATAAAGTCAGAAGCAATGAGTTAGTTTGACTAAAGATAAGAAATATATATCTAGCCGGAGTTTTGAAATGGACCTCTTCCGTCAATCTAAAAGAGTGTTCCTCGCTCTTTGGTTTTCCCCTTTCTTTCCCCTGACTGGTGTGATTTTCGAGCTGGTTGGGAGCAAAAAACCTGCCCTTGGACCCTTTTTCACTCAAATAACTGCAAATTTCGTCAGGTTCATTTTCGTAAAAACGAATAGATAAATACATTATAAAGCTATGGATAAATACCTCCTTCATCACCTCCACCTCCACCTTGGCATTTGTAGGCGGGAATAAGACAGAGTAATGCCAATATAAACCGTTCGGAAGAAATAATCACCTCTGATTAACCAAGGGAATGGAAAAAAAAAAAGAAAACAAAATAAAGAGGACATTTCAAAGGCGCACCTGAAACGTGACCATGTTGGTTTCTACCTCATTTTA